TCCATCATATATCCTAATATCGTAGGTCAACTGGTCACCTGTAGCAAGCTATTGCTCTACTAGGGTACGTGGACAAAAAAGCAATGACTCAACAACTGCACAGCAAGTGGGCGAAAGCTTGGCAAACTACAGCAAACTCGTGTGAGAGTGAGATGGTGCCTAGCTTTACCCTTCTCGTTCCGGGCTCATCTGGGATGCATCACAGGGCATCGCATCGGCTTGCTTCGCGACTGGACAACACTCAGCTCAAAGCGCTGCTTCATTGGTCCGGAAGAGGTCAGCAAACCGGAGCCAAGGGGTGCTTGCGAGCTCGTGCTCCCCGATGTGCAAAAATCCCCTGTTCTTTCAAATTGTCTGGCACCAAAACCCCCAACTGGGATCTATTCGTGAGCTCAGTTCACGGTGCCGGAGTCCGAGCTATCGAGACTCGGAAGCTTTCGGCTCAAGCGAGGTGCCAAGAAGTTGCTACGGGTCCTAGTCTTTTGACGCGATCAAAGCCGGCCAAGTGGGAGCTCAAAGGACAAAAGCCGAGTCCATTTTCTGACTTTAACCCCCAGCACTCCAGTACTAATGATGAACTAATGCCTACATTTGTTCAAAACACAAAACATGTAGAGAATGTGTCCATGAAAGTTCTGAAGCCACCATGCAACACCAGAAAGACCTGTAGGGAACATTGCCTTCTGACATGCGGCTTTCAGGGGGGTGGGAGCACGCCAGCCTTCGATCTCGTTGAAGCGATCTCGGCTGCAAGCGCACGCGGTCATGACACAATCGGATGCAACCCAGCACCCACGAGGCGAGTCTCCGAAGTGATTGAGTGGACAGATCGGCAAACCGGTAAACCCATGAATGTGTGTGTGTGTGTGTTCTATTATATTGTTTATTTTACTTCTTTTTTTCTGACAAGTGGATGAATGTTGGACAAATGGGTAAGCCAGCCAACCGATGACTGGGATTCTCCAAGGCCTCTTGCAAACCAATGATTGGGTGGACAAATGGGTAAGCCAGTCAACCGATGACTGGGATTAGCACGCCTGGCACTAGTAAATTGACATATCCGACCAAGCGCTAGAACAGCTCGATTCGTCGTAGCTTGTTTTCATTCCATCAAGGGGTTTGCGAATTTTGCCGCGTACCATCCCTCATTGGAACCCAGCAGGTCCTCTGTTGAGAGGGATGGGGGGGGAGCCTCATTCTGTCATCGTGGCAGGGGCATATCAGGACACATGGCACCCTTCGAAGAACCAAGAACTTTGCGATAACCGCGCAGCCATCCAACCCTTTCAAGGGGAAAGTTGCCGTCTAGCGGTTCATGCCCGCTCTGACAAGCTAATGCAAACCTGTGTGTTTGGCATTGTTCATGCGAGATCCCAGGAATGGGGAGAAACGGTGAACCTCAGGCCAGTTGGTAAAACAACATCACTTTTTTGGGCAGGCAAACTCAGCTGCCCAAAGGATGAATCATTTGGGACCCTTGACTAAATAAATTATGGGCCACTGGGTAAAACAAAATCTTGGTTGACGTTCGAAGGGGGGCAACAAATAAAGATAGTTTAGCAGTTAAGTGGGGATTTCCCAGTAAACCATAACAAGCAAAAATGAAAAATGCTTCCCAACAACACTCAGTTGCCCAAAGAACCCATGAACAATTTGGGACCCTTGACCAAACAATTATGGGCCACTGGGTAAAACCTAATGGTAAGGTCGATTCACTTTGCTGAGCTGTCCTCAGATCGCCCCCTAAAAGTTTAGCTTTTAGTGGGCTAAATGGAAAACCCACCAAACGGCCAAACAGCTAAAAAGCTAAGGGGATGGCTGGGAGTCAGCAAGCTTGGACAAAGGGACTCTTATGGCACACCCGCACCGCCCAGCACTGCCGAAAGGCTTTGATCTTTCTCGGACAGTGGGGCGTGCATCTCAAAGGAGTACCTCCAGCGGGCTTGAGCATCCAAGGGCTCGACCATGTACCTATATTGAAGGTGCCCCGAATGCATCAATATACATTTGTGTATATATATATGTGTGTGTGTGTATGCATATGTATATATAGGGAGAGAGAGACGTAAATATGTATATATACAATTAGATACATATATATATATATATATATATATGTGCATAATGCACATGTCCAGAGCCACAACAAGGGCCAACCGTGGTTGATCGTGGTTGAGTCTGTCTGATCTTCAGGATATCGAGGGATCACTCCAGAGCAGAGCTTGCACAAGAACAGCCATCTCCCCGCCATGGCCATTCGAAGTGGGTTCTCAACGGAATGCCCCTTAAATGAAATGGGTCCTGGGAGGTGGACTGGCACTAAGGCCTCGCGTTTTGATCCGTGTCGTGCCCGTCGTTTGGTTCAACGCTAAGCTCCGACGCCGTTGCCGCTTCCCACTCATCCACGGAGGAAGCATGACATGTCGAGCATCAGCGAAGGGAGGCCCTGACAGGAATTCATACAGGAAACGTGAATTGACAGACTGTCATGGTAGAAAAACTCAGCCACGTAACCTGAAAAAGCCACCCCCGCACGTTTTTTTTTTTTTGTAAAAGCCGATGCGATGTGAAAAGCAGTATTGCTCCGGGGTACACGGCCGAGCGCGCAGATCCAAAGGATCGCAGTGCACTGCAAAGTGGCTCTCGCAACCATCAAAACCTGTCCCGAAAACATGACCAGTGCACAAACCCTTGTTGAAGACTGCGCTCTTTTAGCCGAGGAGTTGTATTTCGCAGTCGGAATGAAAGAGCCCTTAAGACCCAATGCAGCTGTTGTGGGCAACGTATCCATCAATTAAAATCCCGGAGTATGACAAGGGCTTACAATTCACAATGCATCTGCTTAAGGGGAAAGCAGCCACCAAAGGCATCAAATACAAGTTTGAGTCAGTTTGCATGCCAAATTCCATGACCCCCTCTTCCAGCTGGCTGCGCACGTGTTGTCCAGCTGATTGACGCCATACTGGGTGAAGATCATCTGGCAGACGCCCAGCCCGGGCCCGCGGGTGCGCAGAAGAAAACCAAACCCTTTGAAAAGTCGGCGGGGGTAGAAAAAGTCAAGTTGGGCCCAGAAGAGGCCGCTGGGTAGGGGACAAACATGTTCGACTCCTGTTTTGGGGCCCCAGCCTTAATTTGAAGGCAGCAGATTACCGCCTTTCGTCAGCCTCAAAGGACTCACATTTTGGACCTGTTCGGACGGTGATAGTGCCCTGCCGTGCAGAAAAATCTGGAAGACGAGGATTTTTGTCTGCTTGACAAAGGGTGCCTTTTCCCGGTGGGTCCTAATAGCCAAAAGGGCGCATTAGGTAAAGGACTCCCTTGCTACCCACGGCCTCTCCTAGCTTCTTCTTGGGGGAACAAATGAATACGGATTGTCCAACATGCCTCGGATCAAGAAGTCGCCATTGCTCGCCGCCTGGCCTCACCGACCAAGGGCTGTTCAGGCGAATCCCGCTGGCTAAGGTTGCTGATGGTCAGCTGGTACCTGTCCCCAGTTCAGCGAAGAAACTTCGACCATCTGCATGCCCGGGGATAAAACACAGGCTAGGCCGTCTCGCCAAATCTCTGGGGAAGAAAGGCTTGTCGTGAAAAAATATTCCCATGCCGGATTTGGGGAGTTGCCAATCAAGTGGACCCTGGGTTCTCCAGCGAGGCAACTAAATTCAACACAAAAACAACACAAACAACAACATGCTTTTTAAAAAACTGCCGCGTGCGGTGTGGGGAGGCCGAGGCCTGTTCAGCACGCGTCTCTTCGGCCTTTTGGGCTCGAGGTCAAAGCGGAGCTGAAGAAAAGCGGCGTGGCGTGTTGCGTCTGTTCTGATTTCACTGTGCAATGGTGCATGACAAGTTGGAACAGTTCAATCCTAGGTTGGTGTACGCTGGTTTCCTTGCAATAATTGAGCACCACCGGTTAAGCTTGGTAGCGCCCAAACATTACACCCATCGTCGTGAATGCTTCAATGTTTTGCCCAAAACCAGCCCGGCAAAACAAGTGGCAAATGTCATGCCTGGGTGGGAAGAACTTATGACCTTCGCTGCCTATGCTTCCCCTTCTCCTTTTTCGTTAGGTTGCCCATTTGTGGCAAAGCAACTACATGGCAACCGGACCAAAACCCGGAAAAAAAGGCAAAAGGCACACATGCGTGCGCCAAGCGATCGTTTCTGGTGTTCATGAAGCTCACTTTTGGCCCTTTGATGGGCCTCAACCGCCCAAGTCCTGGGCAACCGGAATCCTGGTCCAAGCGGCCATCAATATGCGTATATGTGTGTGTGCGCGTATTTTCGTTGTACCCTTTGCAGGCGGCTTCAAGGCAGCTCCCAAAGGGAAGCCGCCATAGGGAAACGCCCTGCGGCAATGCGGCAATGCGGCAAGATCAGCTCGCGCACTTGTGCGACATGCCATCGTTCCTGGCGGGCGTTCGGCTCCCAACTTGCCCCAAGTGAAACGAAGACGCGGCGAGCTCGGCTGCAGCCGGACGAACGAAGCTGGGTAGGAAAAGGTGGCCGCACTATAAATGAGTCCACTAACACTCACTTGCTGAGTGGATGGCCCCAAAAAAGTTCAAACCTTTTATTTACCACTAGAATGGTCTTCCCAAAAAGTTTGAAGTTCATGAACTCAGGAAGTGAGAACAGGAACCCGATGAGAGACCCCACTTCTGAAAGAACAACACCCCTCTTGCAAGGGAATTCTGGTGGGTTCCATGTGAACTAGTGGGTAGAAGGGCTCAAGTTCAGCCAAGCCACCATTGCCTTGCCAACCGGTGACTTGCCAGCTGAAATCGGACCATCGGGAAACAAACCAAAACAAGTCAAAAGGCTTCGAAGTAAGCCACACTGGAATATGAACCCTCGCAGCATCCTAACATTCTCTGCTAGCTGCAAAGCCCAAAGCAATTGAAGGTTTGAAGGTCAAACCTGGTGCTCGGCATGCCCGGGCAATCGCCCCCTGCAAGCCACCTGCGTCGGACCCCCCCCCCATTCCATGGCCCCATGGCTCAACTTTTCTGATTTCTGCGCGGGCGGCAGGGCGTGGTAGCGCCAGGGTCGAGGCAGTAGCCCAGGCGTGCAAAGTCTGAGCTGAACAGCACCGCCATGAGGTCACGCGCTTCCTGGAAACTTGCCATTGGAAGAACCACAGCAACTCAGTTTTCTTGGGGTGCAATGCGAATCTCCAGGGCACAATCTAATTTTGCTAGGTTTTGCCGAGCGATGCTTCCTGCGCGTAATTGTTTTTTATGTCTGCTCACGTGGCAAAACGGCTTGGACTCCGTCCAATGCTCCGCAGATTGGGATCTTTATGACTTTTGGAGAAATGGTTGCTTCCCCGCCAACAGGGTTTGCCTTTTCCACTGAAATGAACAGCCTCCCTTGAAAAGGGCTTCTACACTACCAGGGGGCTGCTTAGTTATCCCACAAACAGTGGAAAAGGCAAACCAGGCAACGCAAGTTGAGCTTTTTGCGCACAGCCTACGAGGTACTTCCTCAACTCGCCGTGCCGCCACAATAGTTTTCTGTTTTGTTTCTGCTCCTACAAGCACACAGAGGTGGTCCCACTGGCAAGTTGCGAAAAGCTAAACTGCGCACTGGTCGCAGACAAGCAGGTCGTCACAAGAAACGACGGAAGCTCGCCCTGGTGGATAACCCCTTATTCTAAAGTATGGCAGAAGATGCCGTAAAAGCAACCCACGTAGGGAATTCCATTACCAAAGGCGGGTGAGAGAGTTGCAACCCTAAGGTTGTACTCCTACTTCCGGGCGTGTATATGTGTTTTTTGGGATCCCCACAACTGTGGTTTGCCTCTGGGCTATATACTTCTGTAAAACCATGGAAAAAGGGAAACCCTCAAAAAGAGACACACCCACATATTGATATATATATATATATCTATCTATCTCTCTCTCTCTCTCTCTCTCTCTCTTTACCGGTCTCTTGATCGCCTCTTGCCCGTCCCAATTAGCAGGTTCGCAGGTGCTGTCGTTGCTTCCGGAGGTTGTAGGTCCTGCCGTAGAACCATCTCTACATCTTGTTGCCTCCATGCAATTGATAAGAAAGTGATGGACATGGAGACAAAGAGATAAGAGATGCCACCCGCCGTTTTGATTACATTACAGGTAGTGACGATGGGACAAGACAGTAAAAGGACAACACATTAATAATTCCATCTGAGTTCATATTAACAAGAAGGCACATTAGAATGAAGAATCCAAATGACTTAAAATTACTAAATTGCTGTTCAGTTGTCTCTTCTTTCACCATCTCTTCATATCTGCACCTCTGGTCACGATAAAACTTCCAGGGCTTAAGAGAAAAAAGGGGAGACGGTGATAGAATCTCTGTGCCGCATATAAGGGGCGCCCCTTGTTCGGTAGTTTTAAAGAAAGACGAAAAGAGAAAACACCAATTTAGGGTTCCCTAAAAAAGATACACCCATAAGCGAGGAAGCAAGCATCAGTGGGTGAGAAAGGTAAATCGAAGCCTTGACCATTCACTACAACAGATAGTCTGGGACTTTATTGCTTGCCCATCTACTTTTCAAGGGATCTAGCAAGTCAGAAACCGAACAGATTGCAAGACACATTTTTGTATTTCACCCATGCCTGCCTATTTATCTCGGAAATGTTGGAGTGACCCGTGTCCAACACAAAAGAGCTTCTTGCAGGGAACGCTTGGGAGATGCACCCCCATGCCCTAAAATCAGACACGTTTGTGTTGACGTAGAGAGAGCAGGTTACCCAGGGTAAGCCAAACACGGGCCGTCCTGTCAACCTTCCCCAATCCGCCGCAGGGGTTTAGATTTCGGAATACTTGGGTATGGCTCAAAACGGGGGAACCCCACAAAGGGTTGTTTTTCCCGTTGTCTTCCCATTTAAAACCACCCCCAAAAAGGTTTTCGTAGGTCCTCCAGTAGAGAGGTCAGAATAAGGGTACCCCCATTTTTCTGTAGTCTATTGTAGTAGGGGAACCCTCCCCCAAAAAAGGGTAAAAGGGCACTACTGGTAAACCTAGTCTCTGAAACAAACAAAACACCACGTTTGCGAGTAGCAGAAGGCCACCGAGGTAACGGCCGGCTACGGTTTCCCCGGCTCGCCTGGGTCCACGCGGTGGTCGGTTCCAGCGAGGCGATCAAAGGGCTCAGGGGGAAGATGTCGGGCAGCGCGGGCAGGGGCTGGCAATAGCCGTGATCAGCGCCTGAGCTAGGTGAAATCATAGGGGTTCTGCTGGCGGAGAACCTCCTTTGACATACTGTATGGGTGGGTCTGTTTTTGTTTTTTGGGGGGACCCACTTAAAGGGTGGTTGTCCTAGCGGCGTCCATCGAAAACCCAAAAAACGGGCGCTTCCAAAAAGGAGAGCAGAGCCGACCACAAGCTTTCTGGCCAGGGGTCGAGGGGGTGACCATGGTGGCTCAGTCACCCCGTCATCCAGTCACTCAATTCCAAGTGGGGCCCACAGCTTGGGCTGCCCGTTTTCGGATCCCCCGCTGAAAAAATGACCTTTAGTGGGTTGGCTGCCCGTTTTCGGATCCCCCGCTGAAAGTGAATAACCTTTAGTGGGTTAAATTCGGAAACTACCACTAAACACTAGGCTAAAAAGCTAAGGAACCGGATGGCTGGGAGCCAGCAACTTCTCTGGTTGGAAAAGAATGGGAGGGAAGTGCAGCGCGAAAAAAAAGCTCAGGTGATATCCCCAACAGCATGCGGTGCTCTTTTTAGTGCTCGCACTGGAACCCTGGTGGAACCCTGGTGGAACCCTCGTGGAACCTTACCTCAGAGCCGCCCCGGACCACCCCCGAGCCTATCTGGGCTGAGACCCCAAAGCTTTCGGCTGTTGGGGAAAAAGAAAAGGAAGCGTTGAACTGGTTCCTCCAATCTGCCAGCTGCGGTTTAGAGTTCGTTGGATCGAGGCAGCGGAACAGAATCTTCACCGATTGGGGGCCCCGCCTCGAGAAACACCAGCCGCAAGCAAAGCGGACGCCAGGGGCACTCAAAACAAACCAAATTGTGGATTCAGCCCGCGGCCGTTCTGGTTTTAGGTCCTCCAGTAGTATGTTAGAATAAGGGTACCAAGTTTTTTTCTTTTCCGGTAGTCTGTTTTAGTGGGGGAACCCTCCCCCAAAAAAGGGAGAAAGGACAGACTACTGGGGGACCTAGAGGGCATGCCAAGCTTGCACACAAAAGCGCATTCAGAACACCCGGAAAGAAAAGATGCGCACGCGCATCCCATGACACATGTTGCCTGCCGAAGGAATGCGGGAAGGACCCCTCCCTTTTCCAACCACAACTTCCAGAGTGGCACCGCAGAACCCCAAAAGCCTTTTGTCTCAGAATCAATGCGGCGCCATTGGTGGATAAGCCCTTGGTTGCCTCCTGGGAAACCGCAAGCCATGGGCATCTGGACCACTTCGGCACGGAAATCGTGCCAAAAGCTCCATAACTCCCATGTCCCATCCAAAAAGTGGGGTGACTATCAGTTTACTTAAGACATCAGGTGGCAGAAGGACAAATCAGACTGGGGGCCCTGCACAGATTAACACAGCATGCAAGGTATTAAGAAGCCCTTTTAAATAATATTTGGAACTCCTTTGTTGTGTTTGAACCGGGCCCGGACAAGCCGAATTCCCCCCCCCCAAAAAAAAAAAACACAGAACAAGGAACAGCAAACTCCCGATGTTCTAACACCGCGCACGGCGCGCTTGGCACGTTAGCACGCTTGGAGCTTCGGAGTTCGGGGCGCAGAGGGCAGACTGAAGCTCCAGGAAATCCTCCGGCGCTTCGAGGCGCACGGGAAAGATGCGGGCCAAAGCCTCCCGCGCAGCTTGAGGCCAGCGGACGTCCTCCAGCAGCCTCAGTCGAGCGCGCGAGCGCCAGAGATTGGATGTGATCTGGACATAGAAACACGTGGGGGTTATCCCTGCACCCTCGGTTCCAGCGCCAAAAAAATGTTTGATCAGCTGGAAACAGAAACACGTGGGGGTTGTCCCTCATGTTATCAAATCACCTCATGCAATTGGTTGTTATCAGGTGGGGGAACATGCACAACTGGTTATCCCCTCATGTTCTCCGTCCTCTTGTGTCTTCCTCGTAAAAAGAATCTAACAAGTATGAGTATCCAAGAAGTGCAGGCTGCAAGCAAAACACATAGAAATCACATTTCAGGGGAGGGGGTCTGGAACAATCAACAAAACACATCCCCTGGTCCGCTTGGAGAAATTCAGCGCTGTGTGTCTTCGAGCCCGAAGAGCGAGGGCAACCCTACCCGTAGGGTATACCGCTGACGTGTTTTGTTGCACCCCAAGCTCCTCCTCAGCATTGCCTGCATCACCTGCACGCAGGCCGGCCCAAACACTTGGACCCCAAAACATCCGCGTTTGCGACGGGCTTCTGATGCCACGTTGCCTGACCTTCAAAAAACACTGCAAATACCGTACAAACCGCCCCGGACAGTCGCCAGCATCCCCGCCAACATCCTCTGAATCCTCAGCAAACTTCGCCAGCATCCCCAGCATTCCCTGCATCACCAGCATCTGGGCGTTCCAGCATCCCTTACATCCCCTGCATCCCCTGCATCGCTCAAACCCTTCAAAAATGGCGCCCTGAGAGTAGGTTTTGGCGGTAGGCGGGCATGGAGGCCAAGTCTGCGATCAAGTGAGCGGCTTTTCTTGTGCAAGTGCGGCCGCCGCCGCTGTGCGGAAAACATCGCGCATCCTGCGTTTTTCTGCATTTGTCCACCGGTTTCTGTGGGGCTGGGACGGGCTGCCGGGGATGCATTTTTTGGTCTGATTGGCTTTCGGTGCGCGCTCTGGAAGCAAGCGCCGGATGCAAGCAGGCACACATGCGCTCAAGCTAGGGTGGGGTGAGTGCATGCTCAGTGTCAGAGGTTGGGCAAGCAATCTTGCAGCCTCTTGCGCGTGTGGGTTCGCAGCGAGCGCGTGCTTGGGTGGTCCGGAGGCCAGGCTCTGAAACGAGGTCCCGCCTAAACAGAGTTCTTCTTAGTGCTCCTCATCTCACCTGTCCGACCGGCCAGCGCAGCTGGTGATGGCGAAGCCCTGGGATTGAAACTTTGTCCTGCAGCAAGGCCACCAGGGCGGCCACCGGAAGCTCGGGTCAAGCTGCGATTCGGCATATGAACCATACAATGATGAGCCAAACCACAAAAGCCAGCACATAAGAACAGGCAACCCCACATGCTGAAAAACAAATGCACTGCGTGCCCGAAACTGCAATTGAAAGCGAAACTTCTGAAGTAACGTCGCTGCGTTCCGCCTTTAGTTTCCCAGTGGGCAGGCAAGCCAGCATGGATAGTCAAACATGTTGCTTTGAAGGGTTGTTCCCTTGTTCACCCACTACACAAATAGATAACTCGGCTTCCCCAATGTTGAAGCCGTTTCTGGATCTGGAACTCAAGGATGATCACCTATCAGGACCTTGCCCAAATCTTGCTTGGTCTTGACCCCCTGCAGAGCAGTTCACAGTCCAAATTGCAAGGCAAGGAACACATCCAGCTGATGTATCCTGTTTCCAACAAAAATGGAAGTGGACAGGGCACTAAAGCAATGCAGTCTTCCTATCGGTTTTCATGATTGTTGCAGAGAGGGCCAGGCATGGTTTGAGTTGAAAAACAGAGGTCGCCCCCGGATGACCAACCTGTGGTGTGTATTTGTTTTTTTGATTTTGTGGTGTGAAGGGTCCCCTTTGATCTGGGGCATTCCCCTATTCATCAACCAGAGGTTGATAAAAAAAAAAAAAAAAAAAAAAACGAAGCTTCAAGGCAAGAGACTCATCCAAGGAAAGGGTGTGCATCAGGTCGTGCTCATCCAAGGGAGGTAGAGCCTCCGCCCGCCAGACGGAGTCACGCCGATGATCGGCCAGGAGCCGAAGAAAGCCGGCGAACGCCTGTCGCAGAGAAACTAAGGGCAAGTCTGCACACCCCAAAAGCAGAATTACTGCACAAGGAGAACCTTTCAAATTCCCTTACTTCACATGCAAATCCCGGTTGGAGTCGGCTCGCCGTTGGAGGCGATCATGGCGCTCTGGGCAGTCTTCAATTCTTGCTTTTTGCCTGACTTGCAGCGATGCTGCTAGGGTTCTTTGATGGGGCGATCTGAAACATCCGATGATCCGTTCCTTATTTACTACGACTAGGCCGCAACACGTACTTGTTCATCAAAATCCTTCGAAGACCCCTCTGGCTGGGTTGAAAACGCCGAGTGATCCCCCACGCGAACTTAAATGCATGAGAACCCTTTGGAAGTCATCACTTCTTTTTTCCAACCACGTGAAACTTGTGGACAATGTCTGCTGAATCCCTTCCCCGATCCATAAATGCACCCTATTGTTTTAAATACATGGGGTTCCACCCCTGATCTTCCACTACTACTACTACTACTACTATTACTACTACTACTACTACTACTACTACTACTACTACTACTACTACTACTACTACTACTACTACTACTTAGTACTACTACTACTACTACTACTACTACTACTACTACTACTACTACTACTACTACTACTACTGCTTGCCAATACCAGGCCGATTCCAAACCAGCAAATGTTCAGCGACCCCAACTCTAGTCGTACCAGGAAGTACTTTAAATGCAATGGTAAACCAATTCTGACGTATCCATCCCGCCAGCCAGCCAGTCCTCCCTCCCTCCCTCCCCCCTCCCTCCCTCCCTCCCTCCCTTCCAACCACCTACCCACCTACCCACCTGCCCACCTACCCACCCAACCCCCCAACCCACGCCCACCCACCCATCGATCCATCTAACCCCATCCACCCATCCACCCATCCACCCACCAAACCATCCACCCCTCCACCCGCACTCGCTCACCTCACCACACCTCGCCTCACTTCACCTCACCTCACTCACCCAACTCCAGCCCAGCCAATCCATACATCCATGTATCTCTGTTACTTTTGTGCATTTCATTCATGCTTAGTTCAGGGATGGAGGGTTGCAGGAGCCCAAACGCAGGCCGAGTGCCGTCAAACGGCTGTTGGCTAGCAGAAGGGATAAGAACAAGTCCGCCGGTATCAAAGAGGCTGGACTTAGATCCAGGCAGTAGAGCTCAAACCCAAGTAGGACCGGCCCTGGTAAGGATCAGAAGGCTTCCCTTGGACCATCAACTCTGCCCGAAAGCAGTGACACACTCCAGGATGATGTTTTTGTGTTCTTGGGATGGTGTTGAACCATGGAATCTACCCCCCAAAGATCATTGCGCGACCCCGGCAAACATGGTTGACTTGAATGACCCGGGATTTTGCATCCAGCGGATCAATAGGGTGCCTTTTGCCTAGAGCAATCAGGCACCTCTGCGCTCCAGCTCTGTCACACCCCACCACCTGCCTCCCAAGTCGTCAAAGGAGCTTTGCCCGAGTTACCCAGAAATCCTGAGCAAAAGGTCGCCCAGCCAGGCTATGTTTTGTAGATGGCCAGTCAGAAGGTTCAAGAACTGTCTAGTTCAGGTCAATTTGCAGGGGTTGGCATTGCAATTGGAGCAAGCATTGGCAACACGTCGGCCCCTTGACTTGAGCGGAATGGGCAACAGCAGCCCTCCCTCGCCCACGGAATCATCCCCTGGAAAAACAATGTGGCCAGTAACAATACTCGGTTGCTTTCTGCTCCCCTGCTAAAAGTTTAACTTTTAGTGGCTTAATGGAAAACTCATTAGTTGGCAAAAAGCTGTTAAAGTCCTAACATCCAAGCAAAATGCACCAAAGAATACATCCGCCGGTCCGCAAATGACAGGCTTTTCCCTATATAGGGCCCCCTGTAAGCGTATCAATCCGAGGCCGTGTGAAGTGCAAGCTGCACAATGGACCAGAACCCCCGGATCTTCATTTTTTCCCGTGGGAAGCAAAGGTATACAAAGCTAAGATCGACACATGGGATCCGCCTTTTGGGGACAGCCCGCTGGCACCAACGCCTAGGCCTAAGGCCCGGCGATGTTTGGGTGGAAAAATCGCGTTTGAGTCCGTTTTCAAGTTGCTCCAGCCCTTTCAGGCTTGGTCTCCATGTGCCTGTGTCATTGTTGGCTGTACTCCGTTAAGGACCTTTCTTCACCCTATTAATCAACCAAGCATTTATGCATCCTGGGTCCCATTGTCTTCCATGAACCGCTCAAGCACCCTACAGGTCAACGAGTTGAATGTCCCGGCGCTTCATGCCAGCAATTTGTTGCATTCAACAAAACTTGTTTAACCAAATTGGCTTGATGACAACCCATCCCATTAATGGGGGGGGCGTTCCCCTCCAACAGTGACGCTTTCCAAAACCCAGGGACACCCCCTACTCATAAACTGGGGTTGATTCATCCAGGTTCACACTTTCTCACGTCCTGAGTTCCGGGACTTTCCACTTTTGGGGAAGACATGGGAAGACCATGTTGAGTGGCAAAAAAGAGGCTTGGACTTTTTTAGCCAACCCCACTCAGAAAGTGAGGTAACCAAATTGGCTTCAACAAACCCGGCCCCTGCCCACCAGGAACCAGCCAAGTCGCGGTGTCGAAAGTACGACTCAACTCGCCGGTAGGGGTTCCGAACAAAGATCACGGGCAAACGCCGGGTAGCAAACGCGCAGCACAAGATGCACCTTGGAGGCGGGTGTAGCGAACCCCAATTTTGTCCAAGAAAATAAAGGTTCTCCCCAATATAGGGCATCTCCCGTTCTCAATCGAAGATTGACTTTTCGCCTGGGTTGATATTACTGGTCCAAACCAGCACTTGTCCAAATTTAGTAATCAACATCTGAAGTTACATGTTCAGCCCCTATTGCAAGGAGAATGGGTCAATTTCATCCATCGTAAAGCAGCTTCAATTCGAGATCACCTGGAATAAAAGGTTCACCTTTCCGGACCCAAGCTGGGGAAATAGGTCGGAAGGTCGGCGGTCAAGTCGTGCCTAATGCTTTGTTTTGATCCACCTGGCAATGGCCTCTCCAAGACAGCCAAAAACACGGGAAAACTTCGGAGTCGGAAAATTGTCATCTCTCGCTTTTTGCCCCGGATTTTCTGACTGGCCTGGAGGGGGCAATGTTCGACAAAAACTACCACCGGTGATCGCCCGGACCGACGGACAGTGACCCTGGGCGAACGGGCCAAACCCAAAACAAAACGCCGTTGCCCACATCTCAGGTACCCCCCCCCCCAAAAAAAAAACAAACTGATTCTGTTTCACTGATTCAGTTTCACATTTAAATTAGTCTGCCCTAAAACGTGGACACCGAAGGGAAAAGGCCAATATCATTCAGCCTACCCAAAAACATGGAAAAACGGAGGAGGCTCCAGAAGAGGTCCGCGGGTGGATTTAAGCAAAGGCCAGGCACCACGGCGCGGGCAGAAAGATCCTTGGCGCGCCGTGCATGTGCAGTGGGGGGGAGGGAGGGCAGCTGGAGAAATGCAGCCTTGTCATTTTGGTTGCCGCTTTGGTTGTTCCAGAGGTGCACCCGAATATTTCAGAAACACGACCCCCCCCCCCAAGCGCGCTCAACGAGGATGGTGTTGTCGCTCAAGATGCCGATCCGATGTCACTTTTGAAGCCCATGTTCCCCGGGGGGAAGGGGGGGAAGCTGAAAAATGGCCCTCCCCTTTTGTGCCCCGTTTGGGTACTCCAGTTGCCAGGGCAAAACCAACACCTTCTCTAAAGGTGCCCCTTGTTTTGGTGGTGTTAAAGGGAAACCAAAAGGAATTCACGAAATCCCTTGTTGGGGTTCCGCCTCCTAATAGCGGACACACCCGAATATATGCTCATTTCAAGGGAGCCCCCTCAAAAAGAAAAAAGAAAAAACAAAAACGCAGGCCTGGGTCGTTCAAGATGAGGCTCTTGGAGATGAGGCTGTGCTGGGCCATCTCCATCTGCATTCGCCGGAAGAGGCTCCTCTCTGGCAGATTCGGTAGGGAAACCGAGGGTCACATAGGCGCCTTTTTTTTCTCCCAACAGCTGAAAGCTTTGGGGTCTCTGCCCAGATAGGCTCCGGGGTGGTCCGGGGCGGCCCTGAGGTAAGGTTCCATGAGGGCTCCACCAGGGCTCCTCCAGGGCTCCACCAGGGTTCCACGAGGTTCTGCGAGGGCTGCGGGGTGGTGCGAGCACTAGAAAGAGCACCGCATGCAGTTGGGGATATCACCTGAGCTTATATATTTGTTTGGGGGGGATCAGGCCCAAAAACAGCAGCAGCAAGTGCTTCTCTCCAAACTCTTTTGGTGGTTTTGAGTGGTGAGTTGGTTTCCCATTTGCCCTCTAAAGGACCCAGGGGTTCAAATCCCATCCAAACCAGTTAAGGGTAAGCTGAAAGAGGGTTGTCCAGCTCTTGGAAAGCAAGGGGGGCCTATTCCAAGCCGGAGCAACCCAACAACCTCATCAGGGGGGACTTTCCCTGGGGGGTACCTAGACCAATCACAAGCCACGGCATGTAGCAGGCTAGGCTTGCTCCCTACTTGCACTTATGGAACCAGCCATGCCTTCAAAAACGGCTCCGAGGGAAGGGGAGCTGCGACCCTACGATTATTGAGTACTGAGTACTTGCATTGGGCCTTGCAAGTCCCGCTGCCCAATGTGCTGTTGGCGAGTTGTAGTATTTGGAAATGCTAGTTGGGCTTCAATCAAGTATATAGTTGAAGCGCCCATGACAGATCTAAATCATCATGCATCAGCTCATGGGAGTTGCTCGATGCGGGTCTAGCACTTACTTCCTGAGTGGATGGGCCAAACAAGTGTCCAACCTTTCTGAGTGCCACTAAAATGGTCTTCCCAAAAAGTGCAAAGTCCATGGACTCAGGGACTCAGGGAGTAAGAAAAGGGGAACCACGACCACTGGGCATTTCTCTTTTTAGTCCCTCCCCCCACCCCGCCCACCGCCCACCGCACCCCATAAACAAAAAAAGAAAACGTGCACCAAACGGTGGGACCTTCACGAGCTCGTTTTACTCCAGGCCACTCGGTACTTGTGGAGTTTTGGTTGCACCCCCGTTGTTTGGTTGGTTCACCATAAAAACCGATCACTAGACCTTTGTGATCATCTCACTCTCCATCAAAGCCTGTTCTTGGCTCACCTTTGGTTGCTGGGGCTCAGCAGGGAGCAGGGAATGAACTCTATAAACCCTCCAACTGGTGGTTTCCCTGTTAAGGGGAGCAAAGCTTGGGCGCACTCCCTGATTTCCTACTTCTCGCACCAGCAAGTTTGGTTGACACCTGCAACGGCTCCGCGTGTTTGACACGTTCTGCACCTCCTGCAACGTGACAAAGGTGAACCTTTTGGCACCTCCACGAAAAATGGCCTAAAACGGGGAAACCCAAACTCGGTGGCTTTCTGCTCCCCTGCTAAAAGTTTAACTTTTGGTGGTTTAATACGGAAAACCCATCAGTTGGATCAAAAAGATCTCAAGTCCTAACATCCCTTGGCAGAATGCACCAAAGCAAAGGTGAAAAGGTCGATTCGCTTTGGGCAAAAGCCATATTTCAAAGATGTTTCAAATCGGCAAAATGTATCTTGTAAGGAGTCCTGGAAAACCAAAAGGTCCAAAGGTCGATTCGCTTTGGGCTGAGTGACGCGTCCCGCTGGTTTTTGAGGCGCGCCTTTGGCCTCTCTCGCCCAGGCTGGCGCCCGGCGCACCCAAGCCCTGGCGCCCGAAGAGCCAACGCTGGAAGCGCTCGAAGCCGCTAGGGCCGCCTGGGGGACTTTCGAGGCCCCGAAAACAAGTCAAATGGGTATGTCTTTTGAAGAGGGTTCCCTTTTTGGATGGGTTCAAATGCAAAAAAAATCAAATCCGGATATGTTGTTTTTGGAGGGTGCCCTTTTTGGATGGTTTCAACAGGGGAAAAGCTAAAAAAGGTCAAATCCGGATATGTTGTTTCTGGAGGGTGTCCTTTTTAGATGGTTTCAAAGGGGAACCAAAAGGACAACCACCAGTTTGGGGAGCCGATGCCTAAACTCTTGGATCAATGGAGGATGTGGGGGGGGTGGGAATTGCGGGGGGGAGGCGGGTTGGGGTTGGGGGGGAGGGTAATGTTGACCCCGGATTAATAAACCCCTGTTTCGTAATTTGGGGGTGTCCCTGGTTTGTAGTGGGAATCATCACTTTTGGAGGGGAACGCCCCCATATTAATAAACAGGGGGTTATTAATCCGGGGTCAACATTGGTCTCTTTGGTTGGTCAAGAACTTGGCAGTGTCGCCTAAAAGCTCAGCACAAAAAAACCAAAGCATGCCATTGTCATTGGCCAAATGCAAACCTCTTCAGAAGCGAACTGGAAAAGTGAGCCCGAACACGAAAACACAATTCTAAGCCAACCTGCCACGCCAAGTCGTTTCTTACTTTATCACCCCCATTCTTGGGTGGTTTCAAGGGAAACCAAGAGGAAACCACCCATTGTCTGTTTTTGTTTCTTGGTCCGCACACTCACTCAGGGCGGGCCCACTCCAGCTGTGCTCCCATGGGGTTCCAACTCGCCAATTCTTGACTTGCTCCAGTAGAGAGGTTAGAATAAGGGTGCCAACTGTTTTTTCCTGTAGTCTATTTTAATAGGGGACCCCTCCCAAGAAAATTGGTGAGACAGGGCACTACTGGGGGACCTGCGAGCATAACAACATCCATTTGCTTAAGTTTCCCCGGAAAAACAACAAATGTTTCCAATAGTGGTCGATTCACTTTAAAACCAACAGGGCAAACTAAAAACATCATCGAAAGCACATGGAAGAAAAAGAAGCCCAACAAAAGGGGGAGTGTTTCTTTGGTTTCTTTGTTGGTGCCCCACGGCTGCCCATTGGCTCTGATTCCTGATTTGGGGTTGTGGGTTGAACAATTTGGGTGGTTTCAAGGGAAACCAACCCACGTCCACCCCCCCCCCCAAAAAAAAGGAAAGAGAGAGAAAAAACGCCCATTTTCAGGGGTTCCAATGCCAGACCCTTCGTTCCAAGCCGCGCGCCGCGAACCAGCGCCGGCCCAAGAGGCGGCCCCGGGGGTGCAGCCCTAGCAGCCAGGCGCCCACCGCGTGGCTCCCCGCCTTGTGCCTGCGGCAGTGGTCCCAGCTGTGACGCTGCCCCTTGGAACCATCTAAAAGGGTTCCGCATTTTGAGACAAAGGCATATATATATATATACATATCCTATGTGCAGGTATTTTGCATTGTTTAGTTCTACATATACATTTGTGGCTCTTCATTTCTTTATTTATAATAACATGTACATGTATGTATAAAAAAAGTGTACATGCGGCATGTATATATAAACATATGGGCTTGTAGAGTTGGTACTGGCAGGTAACGTTGATAAAGTATCTGTCCGTAGGCAATTCAATAACTCTCCATACAGGGCTTCGCTACTCAAAAGGGCATGGTGTTCTTGTCTTAGCAAGTTAGACTCCTCGTCCCCACCCCCTCGGCTGGACTCGGCTGATTTTCTGGGCTGAGGATGTGAGACTTGGACTTGTGCAGGCTTCTGCCTTGTCGAGGAGTGTGACAACGAGGGCAACTTCAGGTTGAGCATCTGTAAACTCGCGTTTAGCCCTCGGCAAAGCGCTTGATTCGGTGAACTCTCGCGAAGCCGCCGTGCAGTTGGCCCCAAGTTAATACCAAGCGTAGCGCTTGGCGCGCAAAGTTCAACCCGGATAGGGGTTGGAGTGCAGGGGCCAACACAGCAGCAATCTTAGTCTTATTTCAGTCTTTCCCACAGGCATGTGTGTGTGTGTGTGTGTGGGTGTGGGGGGGTTCGGGGCGGGGCGTGTTTGGGGCCCCCCAGTTTCCCCGCACTCTTCGCAGCTGAGGTTCATGATGGCCACGGCAATGGGTACTTGCACTGGGCAGAAGAAGAGGTGCGACGCCTTGGAATCAACACTGGGACGCTGGCTGGGTGCCGTTTGTCCGGACTCGGAGCCCCCTTGCATCCAGCGAGTTAGCCACAACAGTGCCAATTTGCGAAGTGTGCTCTTTACAAGTCATTGCAACGTTGCAAGGCAACAGCCAAAAAGGCAGCAAGCGGCAAAGGGCAGCTAAGGCAAAGGGTAAACTTGTGACCAACCAAGGTACCCAGTGGATTTCCACAAAAAGCGGGGCTTTGCCTGCTTTCTTGCTGGTTTTGTTGATTCGAGAGGGTGAATCTTTCAGCTTTCCTCCAGGAACATGCAATGAAAGGAAACAAAGCCCTTGTTTATTTTTTTATTAAACAAAAAACAAAAAACAACGACTTTCTTGGAAACATGATCGAAGGTCAACAGTGCAAAAGTGCGACATGTCAGTCAGGTCAGGTCTGTTCATTTCGGGCCCTTGACGACTGCCATCCTTCAGTTGGGGCCTTTAGGTTCCAAAGTGGCACGAAAATCCGCGTGTTGCTCGCGATGGTGCAGCATTTTTGTGCTTGTTGCCCTGGCCGGCCGGCGGGTGACTTGTTCAAAACGATGTAAACCTTGAAGCCAGCCAGGCCAGAAGCCAAGGTGTTGTTCTCTTGGTTGGTGCGAGGGGGAGACGGTCAGAACTGGTCATGACTGGTGGGCATAAACGCAAGTAGTGCGCCTATGTTTGGCGGTGTTGACGAGGCGCCAAGGCATGCTTTGTGGGAAAGGCAACTTCTTATATGCTGGCAACTTCTTGAATGCTCAGGGCTTGTTTGTGTCTCGGCCCTGACTTTGACTTCCTCGAGAACAACAACAAAGAAGGTAGCTTCCAATCAGGCTCTGTGAGGAAGGGTGGCGATCTCACCCTAAAAATTGAAGCGGTGGTATTGAATATTGGCACGGTACCCACTCCGGAGCCTGGAGCAAGCAACTCCAATTGCTGTGCTCAGTTGCCCAGTTTCGGCCCAGAAAGAACAGGTGATCAGCTCTTGGCACCATTGCTTAAAATGGACACTAAAAGGTCCAAAGGTCGGCTATGGGGACGTGAGAGTGACACAGTGTGATAGTACTCATGACCAGGTACCCTGTTCCATGCTAGGGTGGCAGCCAGGCCTATGACACCTCCCAAACAGACAAGGCTTGGCTAGGTCCTCGAGTAGAGAGGTTAGAATAAGGGTGCCCTTTCTTCCTGTAGTCTATTTTAGCAGGGACCCCCAATAAAGGGTAAAAGGGCACTACTGGGGGACCTAGTTGGTGAACAGGAATCTGAAACCATTTCAAACTAGTCTAATGTTGGTGGGAGGGTGAGAGGGAAAGCGGGCGAGCGGAACTCCCCCGAAGAATAAATTACAATTGGGGACCCAGCCATCAAACCATTATACCTCCAGAATGGTTGGTTGGTTTCCTTTTCGTTTCCGGTCAAACCAACTAAAAAAAACAAAAAAGGTTCCCACGAAATTTCTCGCTGGCCCATACCCACTTGATGTGTCTCAAAACAGAGACCCCAAAAATGATTTGTGTTCTTTTGGTTTCCCGTTAAACTAACGCAAACAAACGAACAACAAAACTCCCAAGAAAGTTCACACTGGCCAAGGGGCATTGCCAGCGCTGGCTTGGCAGTTGATGGCCCGAGTGAAGGCAACCGCCTGGGAGCCGTTGCGATGCTGGCAGTAGACCTGACGGATGTGGCGGGGGGGGGGGGGTGTCTGAAAGAAAGGCCACTGAACGCGGAGTTCAGTTCATAGTACAACGAGTAGGTTGGGCATTTTCCCGAGAGGGTGCAACAAGGGAAGCTGAAGAGTGAATGTGGGCGTCCGGTTCCGCAATTGCATCTATCCGGCATTTTCCCCACAGAAAAGAACACGGATCCATAGGAGCTTTCAAGCAATACTTTGATTTGCTGGATAATGGATAAGGTCATACTTTTCCCTTATCCAGTGTTAATACTGGATAATGGATATGTTAATACCTTCAAGCATTACAATTAAGGCCAAGAAATGGGCATGGCCAGGTGCCCAAAATGACACATGACCTTCGAATACTGCTGAAACCAGACAACCAGACCACAAGCAGGAAAGAATTCGAGAACGTGTTTGTTTTTCCGCTCCACGAACAGGCTCCCACAGGGATCCTTACATTATACACCTGAATCTGGTTATTGCCTTGTCAATGGTGGTTTCCCCTTATTTTGGTGGAAAAAGCCATGTGTCAAATGGGCAAAATGTATCTTTTAAGGAGCCCTGTCCCACTACAGCACCTTTCGGGAGAGGGGGGTGGGGTTCCCTACGGCCTTGCCCACAGAGACCTGGTACATGGAAACATGGACCAAAACCTGCGGTTTTCTGGTGGTTTAATTTTGACCCATACCCGTCTCCCTCCGAAATCCACGTTTCAAGGAGTGGGGCCCCTTCTTTGCATTCCAAGCCACGTTCAGTGGTGCGTATACGGGGCAGTACCCCGAGCCTACCGAGTACTCGTCGCAGGCGCTGTCGGCGCACACGTGGAGGCGAGGGCTGTTGTCGGTGGACCTGCACTGGTCGCGCTTGTCCCGCCTGGCAGTCCGGCGAAGATGCTTTGAAGGGAGCGGCGGTGTCGAATGGGATCGTGCTCTGTAATGTTGACCCCGGATTGATAAACCCCTCTTTGTTGATATGGGGGTGTTCCCCTCCAAAAGTGATGAATCCCCACTAAAACCGGCCCCCATATTAATAAACAGGGGTGTATTAATCCGGGGTCAACATTATTCATACTTCCTGAAAGGATGGCCGCCCTGAACAGCTAGCTCCTGCCAAAGACATTCAGAGCCATATGCTATAGGGAGTGGGTTGGAACCTGAACAGGGGTCGAAAACTGCATCCTACGCTGGAGTTGCATGCCGCAGGAAACATGGCTCCTCAAAGGATACATCCAAAAAACACCCGATTTACCAGGGGATCGTCTCAACCGGCTGGTAGAGGTTTTGAAAACTCAGCTTCTCCCGACTTAGTGGTTTGGATTGGCGGTTCGGGCTGAGTGTCCCATTACCACTCTGCAAGAACCAGGGGTTTGAACCCCAACCCGATCCGAAATACCAAGCCGACGGGTTGCCCTCCCACCAACACGGAAGTGCAAAAAAAAGGCCAACTAACCAAGAGGAAAGTCGTCTTTCCACAAGGGTCTGTGCACTTCCTCCATGTTAGCTGGTGGGAGGGCACCTCAGAGGTGTCAAAACATCGTCAAAGGATCATGTCCCCGCAGCCCCGCCCCGCCAAAGCCCGCCTCTGGCACTGGACGGGAAGCCCACGCAGCAGCATGGACTGCCAGCTTGGGCCTGCGCTTTTCGACGGAGCCAGCCTCCCCCAGACGGAAGCTGAGCGGACCTCGAAACATTGGTGTCCTTTTAGGGGAAATAGATGGGCCCTGGTAGATGATTAAACCACCAGGTAAACCAGGGCCATCTATTCTTCTAGCCAAACAACCAAAAAGGACACCTATACCCCCAAACGGAAGACTCGGTAGCCCATTTACGGAGGCCAATTCAGGGAGCTTCCGGCTGTTTGTTAGTCTGGGGGAGTGTACCCAAACTTTTGTTGCCAGGTCCAATTTCTGTTGGACAAAACGGTGTTTGCTTGCCACGCCCAAAAGTTCTGTTGGGAATCCCACTAAAAAGTTGTCCAAACCCAAAAGTGAGGATTGTCGAACTCAGGGAGTGAGACAATGGCAACTAGGCCTTTGCGGATGGCCGTGTAAAGGGGACCTTGTGCAGGCCTTCTCGTGAGTGTCTCTCACTTCGGAAGCAGGCAAAAAGCCCCCCCCCCCCTAAAGTTCGGTGCTGAAGCGTCTGGCTCAATGGGTGGTTGGGGGTCTTGCCAATCTGCAAGCTAGCCTCCTGCAGATTTACAACCTCAAACACAGATTTCCGTTTGGGTGTGTCTCAGAAGGGTGTTTCTCAGAATAGGGATCGGAACCCTCAAAATGGTTGGCTTCCTGGTGATTTCGCTGTAAAACAGCCCCCAAAAGGTGCTCTCAAAGAACAACAGACACCGATCCAGAGGAATTCCCTTTTTGAGGGCCCGCTGTCTGCCAGGGTCGGTTCTCCGCCCACTCCCGTCTCACGGCCTTTTGGCATGTGGGGAACCTCAAAAATTGGTGGGGGCGGGTGGCGGAGCTACTTGTCGACTTTTTTTTGTCGAAGGCCCCCTGAACTGTCTGCTGGTTGGAAAGTAACACGATGAAAACCCAAAGAAAGATTAAACAAAGGCACAACAAGCTAAAAAGGTAGCTAAGCCTGGCAGTTGTTATGTTTCTAAGTAACACAAGGCCCCCCTCTGAAATTGAAGGGGATCCGAGTACATCTCCCAACCCATGTCGGGGCGGCTGGTTGCAGGCCCCTCTAAAAAGCGAAAGGACCAGGTGGGACCAATTGTCGAAATCCAATCTTCCAGGACCATAGGCAGCATTTTTTATGGCAAGCCCACCCTGGAACTCACCCTGTTCCAAAAAAAATGGAAATGGAGAGTGTTGGTTCAGTCTTCTTCCAGATGATGGTAGTCTTCCAAAATCTTGTCCCCTTGGCGGTCCCTTCAGAAGGAACTTCAAGAAATCGTCCACCTAGGGTGTTCAATTTCCCATTTCGGTTGGCCTCAAGGGGTACATCCATATGGGTATGGGTCAAAATTAAACCACCAGCGCATGTTTCCACTTACCAGGGCAAGCCATTTTGGGCACATGCTTTTGACCCACGCCCATATGTGGCTTTTGAGCAACATCATGGGTCAGTAGCCTCTAATTGGTGGTTTGGATTGGTGGTTTGCTCCTTCTTGAGGGTTGCAACCACCCCCAAAACCCTTCCGAAATACCAATAAGCCACCAATTAGAGGCAAGCTTATTCAAGGTGTAGTGGAACAACTCGAAACGCCTTGCAAGCTGGGAGCCCAAGTGGTCGTCCTGGGTGGACTGACCAAGCAATGTCCGAAGTTTTTGCTTACCACTACCACGGTCGTCCCGAAAAAGTTGAGAAAGTCTACTAGGTCTTCCAGTAGAGAGGTTCGAATCAGGGCACCTTCTTTTTCTGTAGTCAATGTTAGTAGGGAGGGGTGAGAGGTCGGGCACCAATCGCTGGGGGACCTAGAACCTCGGGGAGTGAGACACCCGAAACGTCCATGGCAGCTGGACGCCTAGCTCTGGCGGGCGCCATGGAGAGACCATGGCGGAAAGGCACCGCTCGTCGAACCATGGGAACCGTCGAAGCAACTTCGGACCTATGCCAATTGGGTCTTTCTGCTTAAGAAGGACCCCCCAAAATGGCTTGACGGTTTTCCCGTGGTGTCCCTTCAAAGCAGACCAAAAAGGGGTACCAACTCCGCAACCAACCAAATGAGGTCAGGTCCATTGAAGCTGAGGTCAGGTTCACATTTGGTGAAGCTGCAACAATAGTTTCGAAAGAGAACCCAAGGTTGGACAACCATCAATCAAGCATCTCCTTGAGTGAATTCCATTGGTTGATTGCCTTTTGTTGCTTCCCTTGGTTCACATCAAGACTTCTGCTGTTTGGGGGTTGCCTTTGTTGGTTGGTTGGTTGGGTGGGGCCGGTGGGCAGGTGCGGTTGGGTGGTTGGGTTGTTGGCTAGTTGGTTTGTCTGGGCGCCTTTGGCTCACTTTGCTTGCCCCTTTCAGGCTCCCAGCAACAAAGCTGCCAACTAGGCAAGTGGCACGAAAGCTGGAGAAACGGTGTGGTTATGCTGGTTATCTGGGAACACATACCCGAATTCAGTGTCAAAAGCTGATTGCAGGGAGGATCGCATGGGAATCCATGTCAGGACCCCTTGGCTGGCTTTCTATGTCCCAATTCATAGCTGATCAACTTCAATCGAATTGACATCGCTTGTTGAAAGGGCTCCTCATTGGCGACAACCAACATGGTCAGGACGTCGGAACTAGGGGCCGTTTGTGTTGTTGTGTTCTCCTTCTTCTTCTTCTTGTTGTTTTTTGTTTTTTATTTGCTTTTATTCTATTTTTGGGGGGAGAGGGGGAAGGCCGTGTTGACGTGGCACCTGTATGTGTCCATAGTTGCAACCGCTTGACGGGAGCGCGGAACTGGATTTCCCCCAGCGCAGATGTTTCCGTGGATTCCTGAGGCTCCCCTAGGCCAATTACGAACTAGATATAACTTGCGACATTCAAATAATGAGTGAACGCTCGGCATCCACATGAACACCACCCCTTGCTGTGACCTGTGGCCTCTCCAAGCTCGGACGAGGGAGCCCCATAGCCCATGCGAGCCAAGTCGAACCTCAGGGATCTCCCCAGCTCTTTAGACGTCGAGACACCCAAAGGCTTTCAAAGATTTGAAGACAGCTTAGGAGAGTTGGTCAAAGCTAGGGGCCCCTTTCTACGTCGCATGCCGCCTCCCAGAATGGTCCACCTCTCCTTTGTGAAAAGCATACACTACCCCCCCCCCTCCTCCCCCCCCAACAAAAGCTCACAAACTGTAGCAGGTAGCTAGGGCACACCGCTATTTCCCTGGCAAAAAGGCTTAGCTACCTACAAGTGGTAGGCACCTCAACCTCAAAGGCCATGGCCGGGTGTCGAGGGTTCCTTCTGGCGCTCCGGAAACGCCTCGGAAAAACGCCCGCGGAAACCGCGGCGAAAACAATAAGCGCGGCCGGAGGCTCGGCCCTGGACACCAATCCGGCTGAAAGAAGGGATGCTCCCCTCCGACCGGCTCTTCCTCAGCGGCTCCGCGGATCCGAAGCGCCGCTCCGCGCGCGCGCGTAAAGCCCTGCTTAAATCTGGCTGAATATGAGCTCTCCCCACTAAAATCAGGGACACGCCCACCAATAAATGGGGGGCTTATTTATTCTGGGTTCACACTAAAGCCCAACCGGGTGGGGGGTGGGGGGGGAGGGGGGCCTGGAAGACAATGTTTTCTCTTGAAGTCCATGTTCTGGTGAGGGGGGGGTAATGAGATCTAGGTGAATCATTGACCAATCCGAAAAGGCCGAATAAGTCATAATCTGGGGCCCTCGTGTACTGAGGCCCTCTTGTACTAAGGCCCCTTGTACTGAGGCCCTCTAGCAATACCGACATGGGCATTTTGCTTTCATTCCTTCAGCTTGTGCGAAAGGAAGGGTCTATTGGGGCAACGCAGTTCCCAGGAAATAGGTACATGGGGGTGGGACGGTGGGACCCAGGGAAACCGACCAATATACCCTAAGTGGTGGGCTAAAGGGAAACAACCCCATTTTCTACTTTAGAACTTGCAGACACTGACAACATAATGATCCCAGTACAAGCTCGTGGATTCTTTTTGGGGAATCTCGAGTGAGCTGTTTAATGGGCATGCCTCATTGTAGCGAAGACCCTAAACTTGCGGATTGTCTTGTGGTTTTCTTTCCAAGCCACAATACAGCGGTTCCCTCAGAAAACAAAGGCACACCTGCTAGAAACACCCATTTGATTCGCCTCCTGCCTCATTCATGGGTGCAGTCTATCAAAAATAGGGGAGATGCGGCTCACTTTTTCAGGAGCCACTCCTCTGCAAGGTGACGAATTGGGGTGGACACGAACTGCCTGTTCAAGGAAATGCCAAACCCGAGTTTGCATGATAAGCCTGACTAAGAAATCACAAAGGGAAACCCTTGGGTGGGGAACCCACGAGAGTAATGATATGTAAAAGCTCACTTTGACACATCCAAACAAAAATACGGAGCCCCAGGATTCTGCAGAAGATGCACAACTTGGCACTTGAACCAGCTTGGGCACCCCATGTTTTGCTGGCTTGAAAGGGGAAGCACTTGCGGTAATGTGACCATACAACCCATGGCTTTCCCGACGTGCTTGCAGCTTAGGGGCTACCCAAACTCTGAAAGGCCCCTGAACCCAGTAATTACCAGGCTTCCGACGATCCAAGGTTGACCCCTGTTTCTTGAAACGCCTGTGGGTCAAAAAAGAGGTACCCAACATGGACTCCTGGCAAATGGAACCAAAGACTAAAACCTGCGGTCCCATTGGTGGCTTCATTTTGACCCAAATGGACACCTAAAGTCCGTCGGGCCCCGGTAAGGGATCCACTGGGAGTCCCTGCCTTGGTTGCTGTAACGACCCCCCTGCAAAATGTTTATTTTTTCTTTTTGGGGCTTTAGTGGAAAGCCCCACTTGATTTCAATCAAAAAGTTTTCGGGTCTAAAGATCCGCTACCCAATAGCAGTCAAGCTGCGTCCTCGCAAAGGTGCCACCCATCTTCAGGGCAGGCCGTCTCCTTCCACTTCAAGGGCAAGCTGAGCGCTCTTCCCTCCCGTCCTTTCCATACTGGACGCTATATTATTGGCTGGAACTAGCATCCTAGCAAAGAAACATATTTGTTGCCTGGGTAGTGGAAAACAAAGGGGACCCCCAAAAATCCAACAATAAATACAAAGGGGAACTAATTCTGGGGAAGTATAGGGGGTCTCCCTTTTGGTTACGGGCAGGCACATATGGATACAGTCAGGGTAGTATAGTTAGCACCCAAGTGAACAGTTTGATGTTTTGACAAACCAAAAGGTTACAAGCTCAATTCGTCTTTGTGGAGCAGTTTCTTTTCCTCTTGAACGGGTCACCCGAGCTTGAACTATGGCTTATAGACACATGGGTGTGTCTGTTTCCAGAGGATTCCCAAAACGGATTTCGGCTCTGCTTTCCAAACCTCCCAACGTGGGGTACCCTCAAAAAAGACAGACCCAAGTACTAGCCAGAAAAGAGTGATTCACTATTCGCGGATCGACTGTGCCAATCACGGCAGCAACCGTTTTGCTGGGGAATCGGCTATGTCATCGACAGGATCAGGAAAAAAGTGCCAGATGACACCGTTAGTCTCTAGATACTTGCCAGCGATAATTCAATCACAAGCGGATAGATGTCAGGGCCTTTGTTTTCCACTCAGGGGTTCCTTGTTCACATGCGTCACATTTTCGTTGGACAAATGAATGCAGGAGGGCGCTTCGTGCAGCCTGGCGCTTCCCAAACTGTCTGACTCGAACAAGAGGTTGAGCTGGTTTCCAGCTTCGGGCTACGAATCGAGGCTCCACATGTCTAATTGATAGCTCTCTCCGAGTCCCATTTGGGCAACCTCGCTTTAACAACAATGGAAACCGGACAAAGGGCCTCCTCTCAGTTGCCTAAAAGACCTGGAACTAGCAGATTAACTTCTTGGAACCTGCACTACGCATTGACCACAGCAGGGAAACCACTAGACCACGGTTGGCCCGAAAGCAGAACATCGCAAGCGAGGTCGGCCCAACGCTGCAGGATGCGTTCTTTTTCCCTACACTTCGTGAAGCAAACGCGAGACAGCACCAGGCAAGGTGCTCTGCGCAAACTGGTCGGTGCAAGTTGGTCTGCGCAAGTTGCTCTGCGCAAGTTGCACTGTGCAAGTTGCTCTGCGCAAGTTGCTCCGTGCAAGTTGCTCCGGCAAGTTGGTCCCTGCAAGTGGCTCCCTGCAAGTTGCTCTGTGCAAATTGCGCTCCCTGCAAGTTGCTCTGTGCAAGCTGCTCTGTGCAAGTTGCTCTGTGCAAGTTGCTCTGCGTAAGTTGCTCTGCGCAAGTTGCTCTAGGCAAGGCGCTCTGCGCAAACTGGTCGGTGCAAGTTGGTCTGCGCAAGTTGCTCTGTGCAACTTGCTCTGCGCAAGTTGCTCTGCGCAAGTTGCTGTAAAATGCAAGTTGCATCTTGCGACGCCCGCCCGCGGACCAGGGAGGAATCGAACCCGCGACCCGCCGGTTCCGGGAGCAGGCGCGCGAACCACGAGACAACTCCCGAGGACCAGTTCGAACAACAAAAGTCGCAAAAAACCTCGAGTTTTTGCACCTCGACCACGCCGATTCCCGCAGAGGGTTGCGCGAGCACCGCAGAAATCGCAAAAAACCTCGAGTTTTTGCACCTCGACCACGCCGATCCCCGCAGAGGGTCGCGCGAGCACCGCAGAAATCGCAAAAAACCATGGGTTTTTGCACCTCGACCACGCCGATCCCCGCAGAGGGTCGCGCGAGCACCGCAGAAATCGCAAAAAACCATGGGTTTTTGCACCTCGACCACGCCGATCCCCGCAGAGGGTCGCGCGAGCATGTTAGAAATCGCAAAAAACCATGGGTTTTTGCACCTCGACCACGCCGATCCCCGCAGAGGGTCGCGCGAGCAGGTTAGAAATCGCAAAAAACCATGGGTTTTTGCACCTCGACCACGCCGATCCCCGCAGAGGGTCGCGCGGAAATCGCAAAAA